AGCTCAAAGTCCATTACACAATCAAAATTAGATCCAGAGTAAACACAGGACTCTGAAACATCAGAAGTTGGATCAGGTGCCATGGAATAGTGAGCATCCCCTGCTGACTGGTCACATCAGCCGTGTGCTCCTTGTCATGAACGGGAAATAACGGAAAATCAGTAGACAATGTACATGTAGTGTGTGAATAATGGTTTATAAATAGCAATTATTATTAGCATGAAAAGCATCAGTCAGCAATTGACTCAGGGGTAGGTTGTGTTTTCTGATAAAAGCATTTTGTCGACCATAGAACTTTATATAAAATGATGCCTTTAAACAAGACTGTTGAATCTTGTTTAATCAATTTGTTTGTTAATAACTTACCTCGTTTTTGAAGTGTATATATGAATCCATGCACGCCTAGATTTTGTGCTTTTGTAACGTAACGACGAAAAACGACAGACGCCTAACATGGCATGACATTAGATAAAACCATTGTACGAAAAGAAATATTGAAATGCATTTGTAAATGTAAGCATATGGATACTATTAACAATTTTTGGCTTGGTTGTTGTTTGTTATTTTCATAATTCATGCATTATTTTAAGAATTTTGATAAGTACGAGAAAATTCCTTAATTACTATAAGAACAGCCGCGAAACTCTGAATTAAAATGACTTTTAAGATTGTTAAAAGAAATACACTAAAAAAAAGTTTAACCTACTCACCCTACACCCCTTATAGATTTTTCAGGTTTGATGAAGAAGTTAAGATTTATGTTTTCTTGACAAAACATGCTTGATGAAGACCACTCCCTTCAAGTGAAACTGAAAAATCGTGAATCCCGCTTCTAGATGACTAACTAAGGAAAATTACTAAATCATCAATTCATCGTAATTTATTTGTTAAATTAAGTTGCTAGTTAGCCATGAATATCTTTCTTGGGATCGAAAAACAAAATGTGAAACAGAATATAGAATATACTCTAAGTATATAGTATTTTGTATATCTTGTTCAGTGGGATATTGTGACAAAAAGATGATTTTAATATGGGCTAAAATATTTGTGTTAGTGCTTGCAAAAGAAAAAATAATATAATTGGTGCAATTGTGCTACAAGGGTTTCAGTTGTAGGAATTTTGAGCTCTGTCCAGGGGAGGGGCGCTGAGTCTATAAGAGTTGTATCAGTCAATTTTTTTTTTTTTAATAAATTCTTGAATTATCTGAGAATCTGTCAAGAAAAGACACTACAGTTGAAATTAAAAAAATAAGTAAAGTGATTGCATATGCAAGCTTAATGTTTGAATGAACATCTGAATGGCAAAAGTATTGCACAGATCCAGGCCCAGGTATCAATTGAAATGCCTGCAAGGAGAAGGGGGTCTCCTTTATCCCACCCGCCCCCCTCCTTTCGAATAATTGCATCTTTTGATTTTCTTTACTCAATATGACACACTCCATATATATTATTTTGGCTTAGATAGGAAATATATTTATCAGAATCGTCTAATAAAACGATTGATACAGGAAGGATGCTTAATTTCAATTTCCGGAAATTCGGAAGTATACCGTCCTTGGCACTAAAACTACCTATTTTTCTATACCGGATGTTGACATTCCGCCCAGAACAAAATTGTCTGAAAAATCGATCACCTACCAGAAAGTCCTTTTCTGACTTATGATGAATTAATTAATGCGATCAGAAGTCATTCTCTTCATCAATAAGTTGGAGACCATGGTTTAATTGTCTGCTCAAGAGAAATTTGACCTACATAATGGCAGAGCAAGGTTAGTGAAGACATTAAAAGTAGGAAGTACACTGATTGACTGATGACTTGATAATTGTCTGAACGAGGTCTCAGAGGCACCATTCACAGAATTTATATAAAATGACTGGTCCACTGTACTGAGATTTACATTTTTTTCTCCTTCCCTGAAATTATTTTCACCTCCCAGAATTATGAGAAGTGAATATTGAGACACCTGCAAAACAGAATTTGGGAGACAACTTATCTGTCTGAATACAGAAAGGAACAAATAAGAAAAACGTGAAAGTAAATGATAATTTGGAGATACAATTACTAATGCACCTGAGAAATCTTGAAGTATAAACTTTTCTCTTCTTAACAAATTGTCAAATAAAACACTGCCAAAAGATTGATTGATTGTATTCTGTTTAACGTCCCTCTCCACTATTGCCGGTGAAGGGCTGCAAATTTAGGCCTATGCTCGGCACTTATGGCCTTTGATCAGGGAGGGATCTTTATCTTCCCACACCTGCTGTGACACGGGCCTCGGTTTATACGGTCTCATCCGAAGGACGGCCCCATTTAGTCGCCTTTTACGACAAGCAAGGGGGTACTGAGGACCTATTCTAACCCGGATCCCCACAGAACACGGCCAAAAGAAAATGCTTTTAAACACAGCTTAACAATTGATCATCATAGTTTTGTAATAATGGTTTACACAAGAATGAAGAAACTTTAACATACAAAGATGATTTTAGTATGTAGTTACTCTTCAGAGTCTTTGCCATGTTTGAAATTTAAGTATAAAAAGGGGGGACTGCAGGGGTGGGACTGGGAGCCCCCCTCCCCCCTCTTCTAACCATATTATGGGCACAATATTTTAATAAATGAGTTTAAATACTAAATAAACATTTAAACATACAATGAAGCAGCATTTTTTAACAGCTAGGAAATAAGGTATTTTATTTATAGTCAGTTAAGACAAACAAGTAAATCTTTGGTAAGACTGATAATTTTACGTGCAGTAATAACAATCAGCCCTCTGTGTCCACCTAATCTTATGTGAGTGTAACACACTGATTTATACACTAGTGTACATTTTTATTATCTTTATACTCTGAGTGTCTTATAGTTTTTAGTGAGGAGTTTTAAGTTGTACAGTATGTACAGTAATTACATGTCACTTAGACACACACAATTTTCCTGTTTTGAAGCACCATTTACTACTAGATAATGAGTCATGAGAAAAAGTTATAAAGCTCTCTCTCTCATTACATAAACCAGGAATGTGTATAAAATGTGATGTTTAATACTGGCAATTCATCAGTTTAAAATGTATATCAGTGCCTATTAATTTTCATGACTGAAGAAATAGTAATGTAATGGAAGAGGAGAAAATACAGCAGACCAGACCGGAGTTTCAGGGGGCCCAGGTTCGAATCCTGGTCTGGTTTGCTGCATTTTCTCCTCTCCTGTTACATTTAGTGCCGTGACATGCCCTGGAATTAACAGGTGAAAGACCTGCCAGGGATGAGCTTGGGCTGGGGTCTTTGGAGGGCCAAAGACCTTTAAGGAGGGGGGGAATGTGGCAGTCAGCCAGGTTCGATCACCGTTGGCCAGATAGCTCAGTTGGTAGAGCACCTGTCCTGAGTTTCAGGGGGCCCCGGTTCGAATCCCGGTTTGGTCCGCTGCATTTTCTCCTCTCCCGTTACAGTAATAATGAGTAGAAAATCAATATGCTTACTTAAACTTAAGTTGAAGATGCATCATTCTAGTGACGTTTAGATTAATCTTTTTGATTAAAAGTTCTAACTAATTAAGTTACATGTAATGCCCTGTTCACACGGAGAGTTTAATTCGCAGTAAATTAATGCGAAGTAAACTAATGCGAAGTAAACTAATGCGAATTAAAATTTTACTTCTGCAGCCCGGCTATTATGACGTCATTTGCAAATCACGTCACCACATGCTAAAGCAGATCCATTTGGCATACTGGCAAAGTGTCTGTATGCACATTTTGATGATTAACAAAATTTTCCTTAGTTATTCACTCAAAAATAGCACAAGTACCTATAGCTGACCACCGACAAGTGGCATTTGAGTAAATTTTGCCATTACGCATGCGTCAGAATTTAATTCGAATTAGCTTTGCTTTTCACACGTAGCTAATGCAAAGTAATTTAATGCGCAGTAAACTAATTCGAATTAAACTAATTCGCATTAAATTCTCCGTGTGAACGCTAAGCGAAGCTAATTCGCAGTAAACATACGTTTAATTCGAATTAAACTCTCCGTGTGAACAGGGCATAAAGTCCAAATTTACTCATCATTTCCATTAATCTATTTCCTGAAAATTATCTTGAATGTTTCACATTTTCACAATCAGCATTAAGATATAAGTAAATTTTCAACTCCTGAGAAGGTTCTGAAACTTTATATTTCTCACACTTGAATGAAAGTTAGCTTATTACTTATTGTCTCCCAAAAAATGCTTTTGGGGAAAATGCATTTTCACTTGATCAAAGAAAATAAATGTTTTTAGTCAGAATGCTATTAAAGCATATCTATATGTACATTTTATATTCATTTTCTTGTTTGAAATTGTTTATGATTGTTAAGTTTATAAATAACTCAGGAAAAAACATGACTTGGTATGGATTGTTTATCGCAGAAGATTGTGGTAGAGAAGTTGGTATGGTGACTTCAAGGTGTTCTATTGGAGATAAAAGCTATTCAAAAACTTTTAAGAAATTAAAAAAAAACTTTTATGTGTAATCATGACCTTCAATTGGCATCACATGATTATTGCAAGATTTTACAGTAAAATTGTTACTAGTGGAAGTGTGACAGACCGCTTACAATGAGAGTGAAAAGGAGGAAAATAAAATGGGGACAAAAATTAAATTGTCCAGTGTACAGTATTTTTACAGCATCATAACACAGGCTCTTGTTTGAAATTTATTTATGTTTGCTAAGTTTATTAAACATGACACAGTATGGAGCCTTATAGCAGAAGATCATGATAGAGAAGTTGGCATGGTGACTTCAAGGTGTTCCTAATTTGGAGTTAGATACCTTGTGTTATTATTATACTATGAGTAAAAAATTATTACAGAAACAAGTGCCTGTGCATCGTAAACCTTTTTGGATTTTTCTTTTTACCAAGGGCTGCATTGTAAATGTAAATACATGTATAGTAGGGCACAAAAGCAGTAAGGTGTTTTTTATCATGTATTATTTCCCTGTTGTAGTTTACTTACTAGCTACCAGGACAGAAGACTGGCTTCCAGTTGACATTAATATGAAAGTTATAAATCACTGTATTTACTAAATAGCAATGATTGGGGATATACTACCGTAGTAAATAAAGTAAATAAAATAAAGTTAAGAAAGGAAATAAATAACCAGAAGGTTTTATACTGACAGACTGGTAATAGGAAGAAAATAATAAGGTATACTGGTAAATTATACCAATAACGGTCTGTACACTGAAGGCACGACCTATCAATACATCAATGTGTGCATCTGATGGAGATTGTTAATATTGATGAGAAAGAGATGAGAGGCAGGGATTATTTATCATAAATGGAACCCTTAGGTATTCATAGCTGAATATTTTGTGTCAGTATAGGTTTAATGTTTAAAAAAGTAACAGAGATTGTGGGAGCACAGCTGGGCCTAACATGCCTTGAGGAGTATTGTTATTGCTCTGTAAAGAAAGCTTGGTAAAGGAGCCTAACACATGGCCAGTAAGTGTGAGGGTTAACAGAGTATATTGATGTGTTGTAGATTTGGCACAAGCTGAAAAAGCTCTCGACGAAGGCCTGTTTGAAAATGAGGAACAGGATTTAGAGTTTGATGAATGTGGACTGGAGTTGGCTGCAAAAGAAGGTAAATAGTTATCATTGTCTGTACAGACAGGTAGAAATTATCCCTGACACAGGGAAAGCTGAATGTTCAAAGCATTTTAAAATACATTATCTATAGCACAGACACAAATTCTTTCTAAATTATTGTCTAAAATTTTACATTACAATATTTAAATTTGATATCTGATTTCTTGAACTAGCTGACCTAGATTATGAAGCTGAATTGGAAGGTAAAAGTTTTGGGTGAAATCGCTGAGAATCATTTTATAGAATTGAATCAATGAAACTTTCTTTACTGAGCTATATTGGGAACAGTGGGGTTAATGTTTTTGCATGTTATTTTCTGAGCATCTAGAGCTGAATTGCTGCATCTTAACAGCACCCAATTGTTGGTTTAGTTGTTTTTAAAATATTTCAATGAAAAAACAAATATAGACAAATCACATTCAGTAAAGGTTTACATGTCCAAATTTTCTTTAAAAGTTAAAATCTTCAATATACCGAGCCAGGAAAAGGTAAATGGTAAAAATCAGCCTATATGATATTGCCAATTTTTTGTCATATTTTGTAAAATTCACCTGCTTTATTTTTTCTAAGTTTATATTATTTTTTTATTCTTTTATTTTCTCTTGAATGTAGTTTCAGAAATTGTTTTTTTTTTAAATTTTTAGTTTGTTTGTTTGTTATTTTTTTTTGAAATGTAAAAATTAATCAACACCATTTTGTATCAAACAAATATTTTAGCTTTTCCTGTGACATGATATTTAATCTTTTTCAAGGAAAACATTTGTTTGTATCATCTGTCCTTAAATATTGATTTGTGAATGCATATTTTGTATGCTTTATTTAAGTTTCAATGTTTTTTCTTTATCTCTTAGTTTCAGAAATCTTTTTTGTTTGTTTGTTTGTTTGTTGTTTTTTTTGGTCCTATCATACAAATATTTTAAACTTTTCCTGAGATCAAAGTCTGTCCTAGAAAAAGTAAGCAAGCATCTCTGTTAATGTATTTAAGGAAATTTTTCCAATGAAAGCTACAGCTTACCAGAACAATGGGAATCTGGTAGAGCAATATTACCCACAATCACCGACTGGAACAGCCCGGGTAAGAGAGGTCAGAGGTCATCCAGGGGTCATCAGAGTGTGCACAGAAGCAAGCATTTTTATTACTGATAGATTAACGATCTAAGAAAAACTACCAAAAAAAATTAAAGAAAAAGAAATGATTATTCACAGCCAAACTTTAGTTTCATTAAAATTTTAAAATGACAAAATTTAGTCAGAGTAGGATAATCAAACTACCTGTTGATAAGGGGTGTCTGACAAAGTATGATCATGAGTATTGTAAACACAGGGGTAGCTCGCAGCTTATCTGTAGTCCACTTAGTATTGTATCCAGGGAATGGGTTTTGTTGGTTAAGACTCCTTTTGACAGGAATTTGATTCCAGTTAATGGGGTTTGAGTTCCAGCCAATGGGTTTTGAAGCTGAAGCTCACAGAGTATTGATTAATTTAGAATCCAGTACAGTTATCATAGTTTTGGGTGTTTATAGGGCTCTACTTGATAGGCTTTATAGGGCAATACATTTTAAAGGATCCAGCTGATAGGTTTTATAGGACCCAGCTAATACATTTTAAAGGATCCAGCTTTTTTATAGGACAAATACATTTTAGAATCCAGATAATGAGATTTTGATTTGATGGAATTTATGGGGTCCATTTAATACTTTTTTGGGTGTTTACAGACAAGTATTAAGTCTCTCTAGAGGAAATTAATACTGGGTCCAGTTGGTAGGCTTAAAAGGGTCCAGCACATGAGCTCTGATGGTTCCTGGAAGCTAAGGACTAATGCTGTGTGTGCTACATTAACAATCCTCTCAGTCTTAAGAATGAATCCAGCATGTGAAAAAAAGAGTTTTGTGAAAAAATGAGAATTCTGTTATAGAAATGTTCATTGTAGGAAGTAAAATGATGCTTCTGAGATAAAAATAACAAAAGAGCTATCATAATCAGCAATGTGAATGTAACCTTTGCTTGAAGTGTTTGAAAAAGTATTTTCTTTCTTTTTATTAAAAAAAATGATGAAATTACCTCCATACAATATGTAATATGCCATGTTGGATTTGTGCTTGAGATGAGTGTTAATCCTGAGATGTTTTGTCATGGCTTGTATCTGGGATAAAACTCAGCTCGGCGTAGTGTCAATAATGGCTCCTCTCTTATTTCTTTCTGAGTGATTGCACTTTGACCTGTTAATCAGTTTATAAATATTAACAATTTCTTATTACAATTATATAAAATTAATTGATGTGTATTCTCTTGTAGAATTTGTTCTTATATATTCTACTCAATCTAAAACTATATACTTGATGTTGTGCCTTATGTATTTCACTGTGAAAACAGTACAGTACATACATTATTAATTGAACTGCAAATCTGATGGGTTTAAATGTATTTACATCAAAAATGAAATTAAAATAAAATGACCATCACATTAATAATTGAACATCATGCCAACTTTAGAATGTAATGAATGCCTTCTTTTTCTGAATTTGATTGTTGACATTAAGACATTTCAACAGACGCAAAAAATATTGATGATTTATTTGTGTTTTGTCAGAAAACCAGCAGACTAGTGTGTTCATTTAATAAAAGTACTTTTGACATTATATTTTACCAGCATGCATGATCAGTATGATTATTAAGCTACTCTCTAAGAATGACATTCCACTCGTACTTCAGGCTCGGTGAATATTGTCTTTCTTGGGTGCCTCAACAATCTTACTGATCTCCAACAAATCATTTATACTTGACGTATGATATCCCAGTCAATGCATGGCTGTATTCAGACTTATTATGTAGTATCTGTATGCATTTATATGTAGTTTTGTATTCTGTATTATTCAATATTTATAATATACATTTTAATCTGATTAAATGTTGCAGTAATTTAAAAACGAACCTAACTGATAAAATTTAGTTAACACAATAAATATCTGTATTACACCTGTATTGTAATAATATATACTTCTAACACATATATATATATATAAGTTTATAGTGTAATGATTTTAGTGGAATGAAATGTCTGTATAAGCTATAATAAATAAGGAATCACTGTCTAGTTTGTTGGGTATGCTAGGGCATCAATATATGGTTTTCCTTTGACATATTTTGCCTCAGAGTTATTCCCCTTAGCCACCATGTTGTAGGGCAAAGCAGTGAATTTTCCTCTTTGAACAAACAATTTTAAAGATGCAAGCCAGAAATATATGGGGTAAAACATTTACAATCACAAGATAATGAGAGGAACCTGTGTTAACTTTGTAAATATGGATACAGATATTACACATTGTTTTTAAAAGTGTTATATTTGTATTAAAAGTTATGTTGGACAGCAATTTGGCTCCAAATTTCAATTATAATGTTACTGAGGTATGATCAGTCAGATATTAAGGTTTTAGAGTTCAATAGCATACTATTAAAATATATCCTATTGTACTTATTATAATAATGCAATTATAACTCCCATTTTACAAAAACACTGCAAAAATTTAAATGATAATGAATGATTACTTGTGTGCATATTTAAGTACATATTATATATATATATACCTGAGGAGATTGAGAATTGAATATTTCAGGGTTTTACATGTATTGTATAACACCTTAATCTTCTGTTTATTTATGCAGAGTTAACAAGGGAAGGAGCAGATGGCCCCGCCCCCTTTCATATTGGTATTGTATAAAATGTTAATTAATCTGCTGTTTATTTATACAGAGTTAACGAGGGAGGGAGCAGATGGCCCCGCCCCCTTCCGTAGCGGTGCCATCACCCCTGATGGACTCATTGATGAGGATTTTGAGGCAGAGATTGGTACCCCATCCGTAAGTATAACTGGACAACATGTAGAGTCTTTACTCTTAGTGTCAATAGGTAATGTTCTGTAGTACTCAGCACCTAATAGCATCTTTACTTTGATTGTGTCAACAGGTAATGTACTAAAACATTTTAGATCTGTGTCCTCATACCTTCTGCTTTTAGTGAGAGTTTCTACAGACAGTTTAAACCTGTGTCCCCCATTTACACTCTTAATACATACTGTAAGTATCAACAGACATTTTACACACGTTGATTTTATTGCAAGTATTAACGGTTTTTAAAGCAGTAATACTTCCTCCCTGTCTGTGTTGAAGGGAACACACCTGGTACCTGTATATTAATCTGCTCAGAACTCAGAGGGAAGCTTCCTCTTGATTCTTAAAGTTAAATATTTGTAATCTTTTCTTCCCTATTTTTACATTAGTCTTAATAAGAATAATTAGAGTTTGCAATAGAAGTATGGATATGAGGGCATACTATGATGGCAACTGTGTGAGGTTAACTCACATTTTGGTATGTCGCACGTATTCAGTTTTTGGTCTGTTAGGTATATAGTTGGTATGTCTCACGTATTCAGTTTTTGGTCTGTTAGATATATAGTTGGTATGTCTCACGTATTCAGTTTTTGCTATATAAATGTATAGTTTAAAAGTCTTATCTTTTTGGTCATATATAGTTGGTATGTCTACCCAGTTTTTGGTCTGTTATATAAAGTTGGTATGTCTCACGTATTCGTTTTTGGTCTGTTAGCTAGACTTTGAATTTTAAATAAGTGAAAAAAGACTTGATATTTTATTAACATTCAAGGTCAAAGCCCAATGTTTTAGGTCAAGGGCACTGTTATATATTCAGTCTAATGGTCAAATTAATTTAGTCATTATAGACATATATTTCTCTAATGTTTAAATGTATCATATGTTTTGTTTCTGTTATTTATTTTAAGCTAAATGAGAATTTTTGGTTTTTTTTTTAATTTATTTTTTGCTAAACAAGTATATATGTTTTGTTTCTGTATGGTTATTGTTTGAACTTTCAGTTAAATAACTATTTCCAGGATGATGAAGAAACTGATGTAGAATTTCAGGACATTGCTGAGCACAAAATCTTAGAAGTGGCAGGTCAGTAGTAAAGGGCAACAATACAATAGAATCAGAAGTTGTGAGTATTATATTATACACCAGTCCTGGGGACTTAGACAAGCTCACTTTTGATCTCAGTCTTACTTTTACCAAAGGAATATAGAGCACTACTCGCAGAAACTTAAGACTGGGATCAAAAGTGAGCTGGTCCCCTGGCCTGGCCTGATATCCAATGAATGACTACTACATAATAATCTCTTTGTTTGTCTGTATTTGTGTCTATCTGTTTTGTTTTATTTTGTGTCCAGCTGTATTTTGAATACTGGGAAACCACTTTTTTTATTATTTTCATTGCTTCTGAGGTATGAAGAGACCCACTAAATTATGTCCACAAAGGAATATAAACATAACCATTTTTAGCTCATTCCGAGGAACATTTGATTTATAAAATTTTACAAGGTACAAAGGTCGCTTATAACAATAAGTTGTGTGACTATTCATTTTTGATTTAAAGAATAACTTTATAAGAACTTGACTGTATTATGATTTCTGTAATTTTTTTTTGAATAATGTTTCCGATAAAGGGAATTTTTATAAAATTTGCCTAAGTAATGCTATATTACTTGAACGCGGTATTGTCATTAGTACATTTTTTACGCCATAACATTCAATTTTGTGAAAATACATTTAATTTATAAAATTTTACATGAGGTAAAATCAAAACTATTGATATAAAAAAATCAATATGTCGCTTATAAAAAAATAAGTTGTACATATTGTAAATGACAAAACTGTCCCACTGTCATTTGGACACAAATATGGTCATTTTCTTTACCCATTATCAGAATAACTTTATATTAAAGATACTTTTTGATCACTTTATTAAAAAACGTGGCCTTAGGTTTGATATATATATTCATAGTTAATTTCTTCATACAAAATGTATTATATTTGACATTTAACTGAGGTTTTGTTTAAAACATTTAAAAAATTCAAATTGTTTACAGTGTCATATAGGTCTTACCGTTCAGGTGTTCAGAAGGCCCAAATCTGAAAGTGTTGTAATGTAAACCACTGAAATGTATTGTGGTTGTACTTAATTATAGTCAACAATGAAGTTCAAATTAAGAACCTCTGTAGTACTTTGTCTAGTTACAGCTTGTATACATTTGTAAATTCACATGTTTCCGAGGAGTCAAAATTTCCTAGATTGAGGAAAATATATTGGTTCATGGGAATTCAATTTCTTGATTGAAGAATTGTTCAGTAGTTATACACTGTATGTGTGAAAAATTGCATTTTGTGGTGGACATAAATTCTTAGGTCTCTCCATACCTTGAAAACCCTGAAAATTAACACACCCCCCCCCCCATGAAAATTAAAATCCCCAGTGAAAGCAGGTGATATAACAGTGATAATTGTAATTACAGCCTTATTTATGTTTTACAGGAGATGACCTCTATGGTAGGAAGGTCATTGTCTTCGCGGCCTGTAAATTACCTCCAAGTACGCAGATTGACCATCAACGTTTACTACAGTACGTCAGTTAGGGCCAGCAGTATGAAAACAACTACTGAATGTTTATATCAATTGAACACATCACAGACACTTCATTCTAACGACTTCAACTATGGAACTTAGTATATTGAATAACTGTTGATGTAAAAGATTCAGTTTTCGTCATTTGTATTTTTTTTAGGTATATGAAGCATGTTCTGGACCAGTATGTAGAGAATGACTATGTGCTGGTATATCTTCACTTTGGCCTCACCAGTAAAAATAAACCTAGGCTTTCCTGGCTGATACAGATATATAAAGAACTCGATCGCAAGTAAGATAGCACACTTTACAGATATATAAAGAATTCTATCTCAATACCATACTATACTTTAAAGTTATATTAAAATTCAACCAAGTAACATACCATACTATACAGATATACAGTCAAACTTGTATAGTACGAACACGAATATTGTGAATTCATGGATATAGCAAAGTTATCTTGGATCCCCAGCTATATAAATTTAATGAATTCTCCAACAGATATAACGAATTACGGATATATCAAAGTAATTTCAAATGTCGCAGTGACTTTGTTGTAACCGAGTTTTACTGTATGAAGAACTCTATCTCAATACGATACTTTACTTGTGTTATATAAAGAACTCAACTAAGTAAGATACCACATCATTAAGTAAAACCTCCAATTCACTTGATTAGTGATTATGATTGACTTAAATGTAGTGCTATGACTGTATCACACTTTTATTAGCTCACCTAAGCCGAAGGCTCAAGTGAGCTTTTCTGATCACATTTTGTCCGTCGTCCGTCCGTCCGTCCGTCTGTAAACTTTTCACATTTTCGACTTCTTCTCAAGAACCACTCGGCCAATTTTGACCAAACTTGGTACAAAGCATCCTTGGGTGAAGGGGAATTTAAATTGTTAAAATGAAGGGACATATCCCCTCGCAAGGGGAGATAATCAAGAAAAGTGAAAAATAGGGTTGGGTCATTAAAAAATCTTCTTCTCAAGAACCACTGGGCCAGTTAAGCTGAAACTTATGTGGAAGCATCCTGGGGTAGTGTAGATTCTAAATTGTTCAAATCATGACCCCCGGGGGAAGGGCGGGGCCACAATGGGGAATCCAAGTTTTACATAGAAATATATAGGAAAAATCTTTGAAAATCTTCTTCTCAAGAACCACTGGGCCAGAAAAGCTGAAACTTATGTGAAAGCATCCTGGTGTAGCGTAGATTCTAAATTGTTCCAATCATGACCCCCGGGGGAAGGGCGGGGCCACAATGGGGTATCAAAGTTTTACATAGAAATATATAGGAAAAATCTTTGAAAATCTTCTTCTCAAGAACCACTGGGCCAGAAAAGCTGAAACTTATGTGGAAGCATCCTGGTATAATGTAGAATCTAAATTGTTCAAATAATGACCCCCGGGGGAAGGGCGGGGCCACAATGGGGTATCAAAGTTTTATATAGAAATATATAGGAAAAATCTTTGAAAATCTTCTTCTCAAGAACCACTGGGCCAGAAAAAGTGAAACTTATGTGGAAGCATACTGGTATAATGTAGATTCTAAATTGTTCAAATAATGACCCCCGGGGGAAGGGCGGGGCCACAATGGGGTATCAAAGTTTTACATAGAAATATATAGGAAAAATCTTTGAAAATCTTCTTCTCAGGAACCACTGGAACAAAAAAGCTGAAACTTATGTGGAAGCATCCTGATATAATGTAGATTCTAAATTGTTCAAATAATGACCCCCGGGGGAAGGGCGGGGCCACAATGGGGAATCAAAGTTTTATATAGAAATATATAGGAAAAATCTTTGAAAATCTTCTTCACAAGAACCACTGGGCCAGAAAAAGTGAAGCTTATGTGGAAGCATCCTGGGGTAGTGTAAATTCTAAATTGTAGGAATCATGACCCGCGGGGGGAGGGCGGGGCCACAATGGGGTATCAAAGTTTTACATAGAAATATATAGGAAAAATCTTTGAAAATCTTCTTCTCAGGAACCACTGGGCCCAAAAAGCTGAAACTTATATGGAAGCATACTGGTGTAATGTAGATTCTAAATTGTTCAAATAATGACCCCCGGGGGAAGGGTGGGGCCACAATGGGGAATCAAAGTTTTACATAGAAATATATAGGAAAAATCTTTGAAAATCTTCTTCTCAAGAACCACTGGGCCAGAAAAGCTGAAACTTATGTGGAAGCATCCTGGTGTAGTGTAGATTTCAAAATGTCTAAATTATGACCCCCGGGGGAAGGGCGGAGCCACAATGGGGTATCAAAGTTTTACATAGAAATATATAGGTAAAATCTTTGAAAATCTTCTTCTCAGGAACCGGTTACTGGGCCAAAAAAGCGGAAACATATGTGCACATGGAAGGATTATGGGGTAGTGTAGATTTCAAAATGTCTAAATTATGACCCCCGGGGGAAGGGTGGGGATGCATTATGTATAACAAGGGGGAAGTCAGGTGAGCGATGTGTCCCATGGGCCTCTTGTTTTAGATATTCACTACTGTGTGTACAATCTCTTTTTGTCTTATTTTACAGGTACAAAAAGAATCTCAAGGCTTGTTATATTGTTCACCCAACCAACTTCATTAAAATCTTATGGAATATATTTAAACCTTTTATCAGGTGAGTATATTAGTTGAAGTCACATGTTGGTCATGTGATTAGTTTTATATCATGTGGTTTATGTTGGTGTTTTTAGTAGGGAGTGTTTTGTCTTGTTCCCTTTTACTTTGATGTTTAAATCTGTTAAGTACCTAATATCAAATTTATTCAACCTCCTCTTTGTTATTTGCATGATCTGTCCTACTGAGGGGAGAATTTTTTTCCATTAAAACATTAAAAACTGACATGTATAATCACACTAAATACAGAAAGTGGATTATGAAGCGGGTGATTTAGGAATTTTAATGTATGAATCCCCAAGTTATTTTTTTTTCTCTGTTTATTTTTCTCTTTTGTTATCTTTCATATCTTTGCCTCCAGAAGGTATGTACCAGAGAATTAATTCTGCCTCTAGTGTCTAATTATTATTATTATTTTTTTTTTTTACATATTGTGCTATTTTGATTGGTTAATCAGTGCAAAGAAAACATTCCTAGGTACCGTGGTATTATCATAGTTTGAATACTTTGATAATAAACTTGTTAGAAGATTATTTCAGATTGTAAGAAATATTCAAAATTATGAAGCTGTATTGTCAGAGTTTAAATACTTTGGTAATGAAATTATTGGTAGAAGACTCTTTCAGATTGTATTTAATTAGAAATCTGTACTAAGATTACATGCACATATTTTGGAATATCAGTGGTAATTTATTTTTAATGAAAAGGAAGTTTCCATGTAAATAAGTAAATTTTAGTTTAAAATTTTCAATTAATGAATTAATTTCTTTAGTAGAGAACTAGAACTCTTTTTCTCAGATTGTATTTAAATTGTATAAACAAACTAACTCTTTAAAAAATAATGTAACTTGCACAGAATTTTTTTCCAATGGTGGATTGTTTCCTTTCATTTAGTGTTGTTGTAATTATTTGATTTGCACACTTAACCTCACCAAAAAACAACAAACAAAAAAACAATAGTCAACATGACTTATGGTTGTTAAATAAATCTTTTTTTTGTTTCTGATATATTTTTAACAAGGATATCTTAACTGAACAGAATCAAATCGTAAGAAAAAAGTCTCAACATTTAGTGATTTGTTGATTTGATGAATTATAACATTGTCATGGTATCTTAATGTAATTGAATATAGTGATATCTTGATATAGTGTTATATGATATCTTGATTTAATATTATATGAATGAAAAATTTAGTACATTTGAAGTTTAACAAAATTGCAACATACACACAAAAATTTTAAGGGGGGTTGAAATGTCATACACACCAAAATGGGCTGAAATTTAAAAATATATTGCTCCTACCATACGTAAGGTTTAAATTCCTCTAAAAATGTCCTCCTCTAGTGTTCATTTTAAATCTTAAGATAGAAAAATACATTACAATGTTAATAAATAAATAAAAAATAAAGAGTAATTAATATTAGTTGGAAAAACAATGGATACACTTGACCATTTTTTTTTTATTTATACGCCTCAATCACAGAGGGGTTTTTTTTATGGAATCACTGTCTAGTTAGGAGAGTATGCCAGGGCATCAATGATAGTTAAAAACGTGGGCTAATTTGCATAACAGGCTTTAGTTAGAAACATGCATAAATTATCCCAATTTTTCCCACTATCATTAAAGTCCCTGACATAGTCTCCTAACTAGACACTGATTCCTTATATTTCCATTTCATTGTGAAATAAAATTGTAGATTTAGATTTTAAAAATGTAGACTAATAGATTTAGATTAAAGGAGCCTCCCATGTCATTTTAATAGTCTCCACCACGTGACGTCAAATACAAAGACAGTTACACAAGATTTACATCCATATTAGGCCTCCTTAGCATTCAAACTTAAAGACAGATGCATGACATTTACATGCATACTAGGCCATCTTAGCTCCTGACCTATTGCTAAGCAAAAGTTGCATTCCGGTGCAATGATCAAGAAATCAAGTCAACAAACTTTCAAAGAAACAAATAGAAATGTTAATGTTTCTGTGACAACCATTACCTTATTCCCTACATTTATACTACATATATATAGAGAGAAAGAGAGACTATTGTCTTGATTTGACTCACTTTTGTACATGATATATGACGTAAGTTAAATATATCTATCTGTGGTTTAAATGATGTTATTTTTAACATTTCATGATACCAGATATGTATTAATAAGCACCTACATCATAAACACATATAGATTTTCTACAAGACACACATTCGCATCATGTAGCCAAAATTACACTGATAATTGATAATTCTGTACACGCGTAATGGTAAAAAAAAGTTCAAAATACTGTGACTGATAAACACACTTACTGCAATGAAGTTCATGATTGTAAAGGCATCCTGTTACTTAATAGAGGAATTTACAATTTGCAAAATTTTCTTAATTTTTTTAGCATTTACAGGTGAATAATGGTGAATATAAATAGGAGTCAGTTGTATTGATAAAATTAATTAATAGATAATATCTGTTGTCTAATTCTATAATATCAACATTAATAATTTTATAAAAACGGCACACACGCTATCAAACACCAATTTTTTGCGGTTTTATTCATAATTTGTCCGTTGGCAAATTTTCTGCAGTGAAGGGTTTAGGATAATGTAATGCATGATGATGGTGATTCATTGAGATAAATAATGGCAAGTAAAGAAAAATCACGAAAATACATACTGTATACAGGGTCATTTTCACCTTGTGTAATTTTTGTCCCTGCACACTTGCAAACAAGTTGCTTCATTTTAAATTCACCAAATCACAGATATGTGTAAGAAAGTCTAGTGCCCATGACTTGTGTCTAAGGGGAAAGGGATGAAAATAGAATAGTGGTGAAAATTTCCCTGAATGTATATATCAGTACAGTACATGTAATATTTTTCAAACACAAATAAATGCTGGTTTATAGCATAAAGAGAATGTTATTTCCTTTACTTGTTTAACCATACTTGATGTAAGTTTTAACACAGTGTTCTATTACAAGGCTTTTGCCTTTTCTCCTTTGGTTTGTTGTATTTTAGTGCACTATATTAGAGGCCATCCTCAGTGTTTGACCTTTTTCTCTTCACGTGGAAATGGCCATGATTTTGCAATGACGTGATTTAGCAACACGTTATACGTCAATAAGACTATCAGAAACAATTAACATCATGTACAGGTATATCACATATATATAGGTAGCACTTCAAAATCAATATCCAGATATAAGACAAAGACGCTACTAGTGGACCAAGGTTGTAAAAACCTCCTCAGGTAAAGTAGCTTTCTAGGAATATGATTTTGACATTAACATGTAGAGAAGAGTTGTCTGATTTCTGTACAATGGAGATATAATTTAAAAGAACTCGAATAAACGTCTTGGATTTTGTTGCAGCTCAGAATTTTTTTTTTTTACTGTAGGAATTGTTTAGGTTTTTTTCCCAAGGAATCTTTTATCAGAGTAAAATGGCAATAGATTGTACATGTGCTTAAAGACATTTATTTTTCTGTGAAACGTAAAGGAAACAATTTTGTTTTAGAGAAAGACATGATAGTCAAAACTGACACTTCATGCTTGTGGAGTCATTTTATATACGTACAAGTAATACGTAGATAGGTAGGATATTCTCTGGACCAATATGGTAACTGAAGACAACTGTTTCCATTATTTGACTTAATGCAGGCTGTGACTTTGATAATAGCTCAGTTGGGCTTGGTTGCTTACATTATTTTTGTGATAATTTGAGAAAGGTGTATGCTAGACATGTGTTAATTTTATATTGGTATTATAGATTTTACATTATTGTACAGATTATTTGAAATATGAAATCATAAAGAGTTTCTCTAAATCATGTTAATCATGTTATTAACAATAAAAATCTGATCTTAATTTTCAGAAGAAAAGCCAGTTTTAGATTATAGATATTTACTATATTTGTCTTTTCAGTGTCAAGTTTGGAAGAAAAATAATGTATGTTAACTACTTACATGAGTTGAAAGCCCACTTACATTTTGATCAGTTGGTTGTGCCACCATTAGTACTGCAGTAAGTTTTTCTCTCATTATCAACTTTCCTGTTCACACATGTATCTGTTCTTTTTTATGTGCATGGCATGATTACAAATTTCTCAAGGGAGGATTGTCATTGGCTGTCCTACCAGGGACACTGACAGACAGCCAGACAGACACTGAACACTGACAGACAGCTAAACAGACAGACACTGAACACTGACAGACATATAGACAGACACTGACAAACAGACAGATACTGACAGACATATAGACAGACACTGAACACTGACAGACATATAGACAGACACTGACAAACAGACAGACACTGACAGACAGCCAGACAGACACTGAACACTGACAGACAGCTAAACAGACAGACACTGAACACTGACAGACATATAGACAGACACTGACAAACAGACAGATACTGACAGACATATAGACAGACACTGAACATTGACAGACAGCTAGACAAACAGACAGACACTGAACACTGACAGGCATATAGACAGACACTGACAAACAGACAGATACTGACAGACATATAGACAGACACTGAACACTGACAGACATATAGACAGACACTGACAAACAGACAGACACTGACAGACAGCCAGACAGACACTGAACACTGACAGACAGCTAAACAGACAGACACTGAACACTGACAGACATATAGACAGACACTGACAAACAGACAGATACTGACAGACATATAGACAGACACTGAACATTGACAGACAGCTAGACAAAAGATTAGACACTGAAAACTTAAAGGCATATAGAAATGTACACTGACAAACAGAAATACCTGACAGACATATAGACAGACACTGAACACTGACAGACAGCTAAACAGACAGACACTGAACACTGACAGACATATAACATGTGTACACTGACAAACAGACAGATACTGACAGACATATAGACAGACACTGAACACTGACAGACAGCTAGACAAACAGACAGACACTGAACACTGACAGGCATATAGACAGACACTGACAAACAGACACACACTGACAGACATGATGAAATTTGGATTTGTATATAATGCTCTAACGTTGTAAACATGATGCCTTAACATTGTAGACATGAAGCTTTAACAAGATTGTAGAATGATGCTTTAATATTGTAGACATGATGTTTTAACTTTGTAGACATGAAGTTTTAACATTGTAGATGTGATAATTTAACATTGTTGACATGATACTTTAATGTTGTAGACATGATGCTAAACTGGTGTCCTCCAATAAGCCTAAGTATCCCTATGGTGTAGATAGCAGTGATGCTGGTACCCTGCCCACTCAGCAGTATGGAGTTACTCTTCAGCAGTAAGTTTATATAGCCTTTGTTACTTTTTATCCAGCTAATGACTCTGCAGCTATTGATGTCAAGGTTTAATCATTCGGAATATTTCATATTGCTGTATATTAAGTTATTGGGAAGAGTAATGACCTAGTTACTGTAAAATCACATATTTTTGTGGATCAAATTTTTCAGGTTTGAGGAAAAATTATCAGTTTGTGGGAATTTGAATTCTTGGTTGGAAAATATTAAGTAGTAATGCATATGAAATTTTACATTTTGTGGTGGTCATAAATTTGTGGGTCTCTCTGGAGAAACCTCGAAAAAATGAAAATTGACCCCCCACAAAAATTAGTGATTTCACAGTACTTATTTCATTTTCAGTATAAAGAATCATTACCGTTGTGTCATTCCCCCCGTGGTATCTCAGACAGTGGATTATCTCAGGCAGAATGGTCAGTTATTGCTATAACCTGTATCTCACACAGAATTGTACAGCATGCAAATTCCAGAATTATAGAAAACAGGCTGTACCAGATTTTTTTTTAGAAAATGACAGATTAAAGGACAAATTTATACTGAAGATTGAATTAACTAAATATCAGCATTTTTTTTTCTAAATTTTTGATATCACTCTTCAATTATTAACTACATTAAGATTTAAATTCACCTTATTTTTATAAGCTGTAATAATTATTTATGTAGAGAAGTATTTAAAATATAAATGAATTCCAACCTATTAATTTTTGTCCATTTATCTCCCTTTCTTGACTTATGACAATTCCCTTCAAAACAAAAAAAAAAAAAAACAGAAAAATTTATCAAATGGTTTAGACAGTGGGAACGATATGCCTCTCATACATTGATAGTAATACAACATAAGAAAGAACATTTACTAAATGTGTTATGTCAATGTGAGCCTATAATTGATTCGTATAATATACACTTGCAGCACTGGATGTAGAAGGAATATTCAGAAGGTCTGCCAATGCTGTAAACTTGAAAGCAGTGCAGAAAAAATTTAATCATGGTAAGGCTTCAAATATGTGTCCAAAGTTATAATTAATCCATAAATTTCTCTTGCTCTTTGAGCCATGTTTGCTAAAGGTAAAGAAAATTTTTCGGGACATGGTTACCATGGAAACTTTGCCAAAGAAATTTCCCTAGCAACCAGCCAATATCCCAGGTTGATGGACAAAAATCTTTCATTTTTAAGGCTTAAAAATTGAATGTGAATATTTTAAGCTACCATAAAGATAAATATCCCAAGTATTTTTACAATACATAGAAATTAGATTTTAAGATTTTTTTTTTTGTTATAAGCCAGTGGAGCATGTTTTACATTGTTTGCTGATTCAGCATTTATGTTTAGTGTCAGCACTATTCATGGTCACATCTTTCAAACACCTCTCACAGAATTTGTTTAAAAGGTGTGTTTTTAATATTTCTGATACTTTGCCTAGCAACAGTAGTTATGGATATTTTGCTACAGAAAAAGAGAGAAAATGTAAATTGAGGAAATAACAAATCTGAGACATTTTGATTTTTGTGATCAAAATCATTACCATTTGTAAGTAAAGTGAAAAATACTTTCTTAAGACTCAATCACAATTGTATGACAAACACTGAATAATATATTACAATCCCACAAGCGTAGCAACAGTCAACATTGCTTGACGACAGGTGATATTACAAAAAATAGTGACTGCACAGAATTTGTGCTTGCACGGTTCACTGTTATATGTATCTGTATAAAACATTCAGTATAATATTATAAATATTGCATGTAGGTGAGTGTAACAATGAAAATTTTCACCCCTCAAAAACCATTGTCAACCGAGGCGCAAATGGTTTTCGAGGGGTGAAAATTTTCAATGTTACACTCAACTACATGCAATATTTATATAATGGATATTGTGTAATTTATTTTATACTGTTGTAGGTGACAAAAAGTCCACATCAATATATGATAATTGTATATTATATAATTTTTTTTGTATTCTGTTGTAGGGGAGAAGGTAGATTTCTCAGTGGAGGGCGATGAACACATTCCAGCCGTGGCGCTAAAAATCTTCCTACGAGACCTTAAGGAACCCCTTCTAACCTTTGACCTTTATCAACCAATACTCAGGCTTCACAGTAAAAAAACATTCTTTTTGAATGCATTCTGTGTTTTTCTTTTTAAATGAAAGATATCAAGTGTAAATTGACTGAGATGAGATATGACTATTTGAGCTTGACAGCTGTTTTTAGTATTTCTTCTCACGTTTTTTTTTTTTACGTTTGACAGCGGTTGAAGACGAGAGGAAGGTGTCAGAGGTGAGAAGAATGCTGCATGAGGAGCTGCCAGAGGACAACTAC